CCGCGATCCATCAGCGCCCACAGGAGGCGGCGCGGCGCCTCCGCAGCTCCACAAATAGAAGCGAAGCTTTGCAACGGGAACGAACGGCCGTGCAAAGCCGTGCAAAGCCGTGCAACGCCGTGCAACGCCGTGCAACGCCGTGCAAAGCCGTGCGACCCCCTTTGCACACAGCAAAACCCGTGGGCAGCTGCAAACTGACCCCGAGCCAAAGGGTTTTGCAAAACCCGCCCAGCCCACGTGCAAGAGCCGAAGCCACGTGCAAAGCCGGAGCACGCGGTGCAATGGGCGGCGTGCACGTGCAGCGCCCGGGTGGGCGTGCAAACGGCAAAGCCACGTGCAAGCTCCGCACGCGAAAAAAACACACGCGCGCACACGGAGCACGTTGCAAACGTGCTGCAGGACGCACGGGGGAAATGCGAACTGCAAATGCACGTGCACGCTCTGCAGGCTGCAAGTGCAACTGCAAACCACAAAGCCAGGTGCAAAACCGGAGCTCGGGTTGCAAACACCCTGCAGACCCCAAACGCAGCTGCAAACCCCAAGCATGCATTGCAATCATTGTGCAAAACCCAAAGAGCAGCTGCAAACCCCAAACCCAGTTGCAAACCCAGAGCTCAGGTTGCAAACACCCTGCAGACCCCAGAATGCAGCTGCAAACCCCAAACCCAGTTGCAAACATTGCAAACACCCTGCAGACCCCAAATTGCACCTACAAACCCCAAACCCAGGTGCAAATTCCAAGCATGCATTTGCAAACAGTGTGCAAAACCCAAATTGCAGCTGCAAACCCCAAACCCAGTTGCAAGCATTGCAAACACCTGCAGACCCCAAATTCCACCTGCAAACCCCAAACCCAGCTGCAAATCCCAAGCATGCACTGCAAACACTGTGCAAAACCCAAAGAGCAGCTGCAAACCCCAAACCCAGGTGCAAACCCAGAGCTCAGGTTCCAAACACCCTGCAGATCCCAGAATGCAGCTGCAAACCCCAAACCCAGGTGCAAACATTGCAAACACCCTGCAGACCCCAAACGCAGCTGCAAAGCCCAAACCCAGGAGCAAATCCCAAGCATGCATTGCAAACACTGTGCAAAACTCACAGAGCACCTGCAAACCCCAAAACCATTTGCAAACCCAGAGCTCAGGTTGCAAACACCCTGCAGACCCCAAAATGCAGCTGCAAACCCCAAACCCAGCTGCAAACCCTGCAAGCACCCTGCAGACCCCAAATGCATCTACAAACCCCAAACCCAGGAGCAAATCCCAAGCATGCATTGCAAACACTGTGCAAAACCCAAAGAGCAGCTGCAAACCCCAAACCCATCTGCAAACCTGGAGCTCAATTTGCAAACACCCTGCGGACCCCAAAATGCAGCTGCAAACCCCAAACCCAGGTGCAAATCCCAAGCATGCATTTGCAAACACTCTGCAAAACCCAAAGAGCAGCTGAAAACCCCAAAATGCAGCAGCAAACCCAGAGCTCAGGTTGCAAACACCTTGCAGACCCCAAAATGCAGCTGCAAACCCCAAACCCAGGTGCAAACATTGCAAACACCTGCAGACCCCAAACGCACCTGCAAACCCCAAACCCAGCTGCAAATCCCAAGCATGCATTGCAAACACTGTGCAAAACCCAAAGAGCACCTGCAAACCCCAAAATGCAGCAGCAAACCCAGAGCTCAGGTTGCAAACACCCTGCAAACCCAAAATGCAGCTGCAAACCCCAAACCCAGTTGCAAACCCTGCAAGCACCCTGCAGACCCCAAATGCATCTACAAACCCCAAACCCAGGTGCAAATCCCAAGCATGCATTGCAAACACTGTGCAAAACCCAAAGAGCAGCTGCAAACCCCAAACCCAGCTGCAAACCTGGAGCTCGGGTTGCAAACAACCTGCAAACCCCAAAATGCAGCTGCAAACCCCAAACCCATTTGCAACCCCCCCCC